GTACGGATGCGGAACCCCGCAGCGTCCCAAGATGATTCGACGGAATGACAGTCTTACTCGTGACCCGGAGATTTGGCTGGCTACAATTAATGTTAGCGGATGATCTGAGAATCGAGTCTCGATCGGAAGAGTGCCAAAGAGGAGTGCAACTTACGCTGGGAGATTTGACGCCATAATGCTTTACAAGCGCCGATCAATCACGCCCAAAGAACAGCGCGGGCGCGCACATTCACGAGGGGGAGAAGGACCAAACCGAGTTCGCCCAGGGTAAAAGCCTGGAAAGCGTGGATAGGTTGGAGATTCGCAGGTTTGGTGATGGTAAGTGTTGAGAGAGGAGAAGGAAGAGAAAGGGAAGGGTTAGGCGTTAGGTGCGCCCGGGTTTGTATGGTGCAGGTACTTGGACTACGTATTAACTATGTACGGGATACCCGGTCAGGACTTCCTGGGGCTGAGCACAGGAGAATTATAACGTTAGATTATCATTTCGCACTAATTTTACTACGTTAACTATACTAAACTAGATAGCCCTTGAAGATCTTTTTTTTTTCTCCAAGTATCCTTCTTCAGCATACGTAATAGAGTACATTCAGCGGGTGTGGGCGGGGTACAAAGTGGCAATTTGATATGAATAGGAGATGGTATGGGAAAGATCCCAGCTATCCCCGTTGTTCCAGTTGTTCCAATGTGACCTTTTGACCCTTTAACCTTTTGTTTAGGCAACCAGATTCATATCTCAATTCGATGCTCTTTTGTATACCATCAAGTCCCATAGTATGTTCCCTGTACCAAATATACGCATTCTTCCATATATCAGCAAACCACTATACAATACACCCCAAAGCCAATAACCAAATCTTATCACAGAATTTTTTTTTTTTTTTTTGCTAATTCTTTGCCCGGAAATTATTGTACAGCACAGTTCCCACAACTCCAAACCCACACCTAGAGAAAATAAGGAGCGGATCAGGTCTTGAATTTAGACACCAGACCCGGGATTTCGAGAAGTACCCGCAAACAACACACTTAGTAGGGTGTAAAACCACGTCCCCGGCCCCGGTAGGGGGCACCACCACGATATCCTCCACCACGAGGGAAGCCACGACCACGACCGCGGAAGCCACCCCGGCCACGACCACGGTGCATGCCAGGCAGGTTGGTACGCTTGGGAACAACCTGTTATTTCGATATCAGCAGTTGTAGAGAGAATAGTACCGGCAATCGTAGACCGACCTTCAAGTTGCGCCCGCGGAAGACACTCTCGTTCAACACCAGAGCCTGAGCGACCAGGCTGGGTTCCGCAAATTCAACGTAGGCATATCTGCAGCGCGTTGTCAGCACGGATCCTTATTATTTTCCTTCCACCTATTCAGGTCTCACCCTTTGGGCTGGCCAGAGAACTTGTCCAGCAAGATGGTAACTCGGTTGATAGAACCACAGCTCTGGAAATGAGCCTGGATCTCCTCCGGCGAAGCACCGTAGTCGACATTGCCGACGAAGATACTACGCGCATCAATATCTTCCTTGTTCTCTTGAAGACTCTCGCTCTGTTGGTCGAGGTCGGCTTGCATCTCGCGCAGCTTCGCAGCCTCGGATTCCATCTCGGCCACTCGTCGCTTCATGGCCTCAATCTCTTCCTGTGTGGATCAACCATGTCAGCTGGGTAGGTCTTTTATATGAGGGAAATTATGCGACGTGGGTATGAAAGAAATGACTCCAGGATCTCGAACAAAGAGTGAATTGCTTTCAGTGCGGCGGAACGACCCCGATCACGCCTACCTCATCATCTGCACCATCTTCCTGGTGTGGAATCTGCTCCCCCTTGATCTCCTCTGGAATAGCCTGACCTTCAGCAGCCATCTTGTTGACAGAAAAAGGAAGGTATTGGGGTTCGGGGTATTCGAAGGGTCGGTGAAAGCGTCGGGGGTACCGATGAGGGGAGCAAGTCAGAGCTCTCCGAGGGTTGGTTCAATCGTCTTGCGCCAGATTTGGGAAAGCAAAATGACGATCTCCAGTTGCTTGAAATTGGGAAATATTCAGCTGGTTTATACGAGTCAATAGATCCCTCTGTTCAAGACCTCGAGGCGGCAGAGAATTGAAGTTCTGGGATTTGGCAACCAAAGGCTTTCTATTCTGGGAATAGCGCCTTTTCCGGCTGCGATGAATTGGCAGTATACTGCCGGGCGGTGTATGTACCGGATGTTTCCAGCCTCACCCGCGTTCACACGGGTGTCACTGGTGTCACGAAGCAGTTGGAAACAGTCAGTCTAGATCTTGAGTATCTTTGGTATGGGACACCTACATCGAAGTACATTGTACTGATGCTTAACTACACTGAAGGGTCTTTACTCTCGACATAGGTGGGGAAACTACAAGTATGCACACTGTAGTTGGACGAGAACCCTTTCATTTGGGATGTTAAACCTGAATAATAACCAAGCATAACAATAGTCAAAGCAATAGTCATAGCAATAGTCATAGACTATTATTATTTGCATAAGTATTGTGTTGATATCCTCATTCCTCTCAATTGGATGTTGTGGATTAACCTTGGTGGATCAAATGTTTCCAACTCAACTTTGAAGCTGTTCAAGCATGCAGAAAATGAAACTGATTGAAACATTCAGCACCTATTACAGATGTAGACCTATTATCGTATTATGTAGGTCCCATACATATAGGAGCCATTTATCATAGGGAATGCTGCAAACTATGTTGGAGCGAAATCAACACGAGTTACTTCGGGCTCCCATAAATGCTTTTTTTTTGGGTTGAAAATTTCCTAGATAGACCATGAACTCCACGCACTGGGACAGAGGCACAAGCAAGGCGCAAGATGATTAGAAGATGATCACAAGATGAATGGGATAAATTCATTTCTACAGTAAGAGTCCCGACGTTTCAGCCCGTAGTGATAAGTAGCAATATCGTAGATCATGTTGTAGGAAATGACTCGATTCAAGGTATCATGGATCAAATTGAAAAAAAACATGGGATCTGCACCAAAGCGGATTAAAAGGGGAAGAACATATGATCAGGTAAGCACCAAGGTAATTAAGTAAACGGATAAGGAAGGAAGGAGGCTCACGAAGCCGGGGGGTGGTTTTTACGGAAGGAGACTTTCTCAACAGCCACATTTTCCACTCCATTGGCGTCGGTCTTCAGCTGATAAACATACAGCACAAGCACATCACCTTGGATCTATTCCATAGTCAGCAGATATACCATCATCCAAAGCCATCATGGCAACTCACGTCCATCAGGCAGAAACTCGGTATAGGCTCCTCGCCATCTGGCCAGAAGCCCGAACTCATAGCACCCGTAGCGCTTCCCGGGTTGATAAAGAACCGACCCTCCATCTCAAATGCCTCGAAGCGGTGGGTACCACCCCACAGCAGGACATCGACATCCATCTGTCGAGCCGCGATAAGCAGTGCGTCAGCGTCGGCAGGTGGCACGATGGTGTGGCCATGGGTAAACCCAATTCGTAGGCTGCCATGGTTCACGATCTTGGAGAGAGGGAGATTGGGAGAGTCGACATCGTAGTCCCCCTTGACCATCTGCAGGTCCGGCGCTACCTCGCGGAGGAAATCATAGGTCTCGCGGTCAGTCAGGTTACCCAGACAAAGGGTCTGGCCGATCTTGCCGGGGGTCAGGAGTTTGCGGAACTAAAATCGACAAGCATCGTCAGCAGGGTAGAATGAGCCGTGACGTAGAAGACAGACGGACCTTGGCCGGAAGATCCTAGATGATGTGTTAGCGGAGATAGCGAAGCTGAGCTGAGGACAGCTTACAGGAGCTCGGTCAGGGATGAACAGGTCACCAATGACCAAGACCAAACGGGCGGTCATCCTGGAGGGTGCGTGTGGGGCAAATAGAGATCAAATAGTCCATCCACGATGATTCAGAATTGGAGCAAGCCGGACAGAAACAATGCCTGTTGTCTTCGGTCTGATGGAGCTTCCGGGGAAGAGCAACTGAGCAGTGCCCTAAGCCCTATTTAATGTCTAAATAAAGCTAGCGTTCTTTGTTCCAAGGGGCCATCCCGATCTTTGGTTTGTTTCGCATTGGCTCATCAGGCCGAACTTCTCGTCCAAATCCTTTTCAGCTTGAGATGGCAAATGTATATCTACTAACCCATGCTTCTTCCAAGGTCCCCTAACTCTTCGCGAAGATGATCATGAGGAAATCTGGGACAAACTACATTGGGGTTGAGGATCGAATGGAGTAGCAATTGCCGGGCTCACATCGGCAATGAGATTGACAGACAAATTAAAAAAAAAACAAGAGTTACGGATTTATTACACGCATTTTCAACTTGATGAGCAGATCGACAAAGCATTCGAATGCCCTTATCTACCATCTCTGTATTGTACACAATGCAACTTACATGTATTATCCTGTTTATGTGGTAATTGCTAATGAATTGATTTAAAACGACCCCCCCCCCCCCCAAAACCTGCAGACTACCCCAGATATTAATATCCACCAAGATCCTTCATCAGGAAGTACAGCAGAGAACGTGAATTGTTGGGCTCAATCGGTAGGATCCGCCCGGCCTTTGCTCCGACGTCAAACCCCCAAGGAAAACAAGCCACCATCGGAGACAAGAGCGTGACTCAAATCCGAAATCACCCTCTAAATCTCAGTCTCACATTGCTTCTCGGTTCTATCATCCGAGTCAACAAATCATTGAATCCTAATCGGTATCTCGGCCAATCCACTTGGCGGCGATCCCCGAAGTCACCAGTTACCCTCGGGAACTCCTCCAATCCCCTTTCACGCGAAATACCCCGCGGTACGCCGCAATCGGAAAACTGGCGTCTAAAAAGACCACGGAGCGCCTGAGCCTGATTTCCAGACATCTGGACCAGCGCCTTCCGCTACCTGAACTCAACACTCCGTTCTCGACCGAGAGAGCTTCACTTTTCTCTGACGACGTCGAATATAAACCCATTGATCGCTCCATTCCGCCTACCCCTCCCCCCGAACCAACTCCCACTATGTCTACTCAAACCCCTCACAATACTCTCCTGATCCCAGGACCCATCGAATTCGACGATGCCGTCCTTCAGTCTATGTCCCACTTTGCGTAAGTTGTCCAGGTCACAAAACATCATGCGACGATAAACGGTTAGCTGACTCCCCTAGCGAGAGCCACGTCGCTCCCGGCTTCGTCAAGGTCTTCGGCGAGACCCTGACTCTCGTCCGCAAGCTCTTCCAATCCACCAACCCCACCGCGCAGCCCTTCATCATCTCTGGGAGCGGTACACTGGGCTGGGATCTTGTCTCCGCCAACCTGATCGAACGCGGCGAGAACGCCCTAGTTCTCAACACCGGCTACTTCGGTGACTCTTTCGGCCAATGTCTCGAGACGTACGGCGCCAACGTCACACACCTCAAGGCTCCCATCGGCGATCGCACTCCGCTCGAGGAAGTGGAGGCAGCCCTAAAGGAGAAGTCATACAAACTGATCACCCTCACACACGTCGACACATCGACCGGCGTGCTCTCTGACGTCAAGGGTGTGGCACAATTGGTGCGCCGCGTCAGCCCAGACACTCTCGTGGTCGTGGACGGCGTGTGTAGTGTCGGCTCGGAGGAGATCGCCTTTGATGAGTGGGACCTCGATGCGGTCCTCACAGCTTCTCAGAAGGCTATTGGCTGCCCGCCCGGTCTCAGCATCGTGATGACATCCGGTCGCGCCATCCACGCCGCTCAGTCGCGCAAGACCCCTCCCGGCGCTTACTACGCCTCTATCGCCAACTGGCTTCCCATCATGCAGAACTACGAGAACAACAAGCCCTCTTACTTCGCTACCCCTCCCACCCAGCTTGTCCATGCTCTGCACACCACCCTCACCCAGATTACCACCGATGTCCCCGGCCGCTTCGCTATCCACACTGAAGTCTCAGAGAAGGTTAAGGCTGCCGCTGCCGAACTTGGTCTCAAGCAGCTCGCTTCTCGCCCTGAATGTCAAGCTCACGGTATGACAGCCATGTACTTGCCTGAGGGTCTGGTCCCGGCCGATATCCTGCCTGGTCTGCTTAAGCGTGGTGTCATCTTTGCAGCTGGTCTGCACAAGGAGATTGCTACTAGGTACATCCGTTTCGGCCACATGGGTATCAGTGTTACTGATCCCAAGCGTGGCGATGTTGACAAAGCCCTGGCGGCGCTCAAGGAGGCTCTGGCTGAAGCCAAGCAGGCCAAGGGTCTGTAAAGGCGGTGGTCAGGTAGCGTCGATATAAATAGGATCACTTAGACTTACGCAGAGTAAACCTGTTGATTTTGTGGGGCCAAAATCCTGCAATGAACTATCAGTTACAGACATAGATTTTTGCAATTTATAGAAGCTGCCTCGTTCAGGAGGATTTTAACACATCACGTACATCACTTTATAGGCTGATGCAATATCTGCATTGTAAAACAAACTTGCCGTTCACTTTTCCTTTTTCTCTCCTACTAACAATACACCGTCTAGACGTCTAGACCCCCTCCCTCCCCTACTACTCCAAAGAAGCAAATGAATCTATATGCACCCGCCGATCCTCCACATTCTCGAATCTTCCCTATTGGCGCGTCTACCTAGACCCAAGCCCTCAGCCGAAGATTGCACCAGACTCGTAGGGATGGTGTTGAACCGCCAGCCGCAGTCAAGAATGTAGTAAAACCATGCCCTGACTTTTTCCGTGCAGGTTTTTCTATTTCCCCTACCAGCTCCTTGTTGGTGTCAGGCAAGTCTGAAGTGCCAAGGGCCCCTGCCACATCCCTAGACAGCAACGCATTGACCAACCTGCTCTTGCAGTGATGGGATTGATCTTCCCTGTTTCAATTATAGCACTATGGTGTAGATGGATATAATTTGGAAGGTTTTCTATATCGATACAGCCGGTCTGGGAATTCCATTGCCACATGAAGTCTCCTCGTGTGAATTCGGATAGAATTTCACCGAAAGACGAAGATTGTAGGGAACGGAATGTATTGTCTTTGATGGAAATGTAGCGTTGGTCTAGATTTTGTTTATAGCTGTGTATCCATCCATCCTGTGGGAGCCTGCTCGCTTCGATTCTGCTAACCCAAGCACAACAACTTTCGTCGGGATGCAGTACTTGAAGTCCACCATCACAATTATCCTAGCAGCCGCTACTCTCGTCTCAGCAGACACAACATCAACAACATTAGCAGACAATCCGGTGAATACTATATGTGACTCAGAAAAGTAAGTCAAGCCTATCCAAGTGTACACATCCGTGGCCCCTTGTGTATGTTCACTTCAAGCTAAGCCAAAATCTTAATTATTTAACCCAACAGCATCCTACAGCAATGCACCCAACGAGTGCAGTCTAACTTGGCGAGCTGCGCACCTGACGACTGGAACTGTCAGTGCACTAGTAGCACGAATTTGGTGGAGTAAGTCTCATCTGACATTCGATTAATTCCAAAATTACCCCATACTCCATATATCCAAAAAAGTGTTACTCATTCTACCTAGGTGTTACATCAACTGTCCCGACGACACATCGAGAAAAGACGCCGAGTCCACTCGCCAACAAATCTGCGCTAAGGCCAAAGCACCTGCATCCTTACCGGCATCTACATCTGCTGTTAGCTCTACTAGGGCAGCAGCTACAGGCACCGCTGATATTGACGACGGGAATTATATCCCCGACTCCGAGGTAGATTCTGATTTCGAGGGACATCCGACAAAGTCATATAGTGGGTTGGAAGCCAATTTGATTCCCCGTCTAGAAGAGGGGACTGCTTCGGGTTTGAGGATGGGAGGTTGGTTGGAGTTTCTGGGACTTGTAGTAGGGATTGTTTTTCAAATCTGATGTTGGGTTAAGGTTCATCTTTTTTTAATAACACTCCAAGTATCTATATACCTTATTAAGATCGTCACAGGAAAATAACATCATACCATTTCATCTCTACACATAATGTACTTCATTGTTTTCGATCAAGCAACGCAAGAACCGGGAAAAACTAAAACGAAAAGAAGAAAACACTTGCCCCGAAACGCGTAATCGTTGAAAAAAAAAACAAAAAAAAAAACAAACCGTTTTGTTGCCAGTGGCCCATGTCCCTGTTCCGTGCCCACGACGCACTATGCATCATGCTCAATGACTGGAACGACTTCAGTTCCTTTTTTTTTATCTCCGATTGGCTTTCCTACTACCCAACAGAGAATGGTGACCCAGTCGTCCAAGTTATTTTCCAATCCATCCTTAACCTCCATGATCGGTGACAAGCGAATTTGGAGGGCATCGGGGTTCTGCTTATCGTGCCAGATCTGAAGGATACGGAGTTGGGAAATCTGACGCAGAAATGACGGTGATAGGGATATATCGGTGATCATTAGATTCATCTTCGATTCGGCGTTTAGCGATCAAGCCATAGGCAAGAGATACTTCCCCGGAGTTGAGGCGACCAACACGGTGAGGCTGCGAATCAACTACGAAGGCGTTGATATGGGGCTGCGCCTTATCCTTGGTGGTCGTCCAGCTTATAAGCTTCCATTGCCATTGAGGCGCATATACGGAACCAAGTTCGTTGCTACACAGTAAGAATGGTTAGAAATAAAGCTATTGTAGAGAGTAAAAGTAACTAACTCGGCAACTTACTCTTCATCAAGGAAATGATGCGGCGTATCGATACCCAAAAAATTGTCCAGTGAAGAATGTAAAGCGTTTTCATCTGTGACGCGTTAACCCACCGTCGGTATCTACGTAGCTTCGGGGTATCGTCGATATTCGGACCACAGATATCAAATCCATCCCATGGTCGTTCCCGGACTATATATTCTCTCAGTTGATCACGGGGAAATGGCTCCACAAAGCGTGGGCCATATTCTGGAGTTTCACTAGAGGATAAATCGAGTTCAGCAATGGTGATGTGCAATTTTCTCTGGTTGCTGCGAGAGAGGAGGAGAGCGATAAGCTTCCTAGTAGCAGCGTGACAGGGTTTGACCCAAATCTGACCTTCGTCGAGCTTTGATGTTTTGTCCTCATTCTCCGAAGTGTTAGGCTCCATACTGTACGTCAGATGGTCACGATAGCGAGGTAGGTGAAGGTTCGCTGGAGAGTTGTTTTGTTGGATACAAAATGGGAAAGAGGGCCAGGAACTCTGGATTTCAGAAGGCTTTTCTGGCTGGTGCAGTACAATTAAACCCCTGTTGTTGTTGGTCTTGTTACGCGCTATGTTGTTGATGGTATGATGGTATCGGTTGGTGTTGAGCGGACAAGGAAGTTGACTGGTTGAGCAGTTTACCCAAGTAGCTTTTCACCTGGCCGAAAATCATGAAGGATATCCACAAGTGTTCTTTTATTCTACGGTCTATGGCAAGTAGATTCAAACATGTTGAAAGTCACATAACTTCCATGTTTGCTCCTGTAATCCCGAACACAAATCAGGCCGCTACTCCTGATGGGTTACATAGTTAACTAAGACCAGCTAACCGCTAGGATGTTCTGTTTGTCCTTATGATCTTTTGGCTTAACAAACTAAGGCAGAATTCAGGCATTCAAAACGTTTTCAGGAATCAACCCTGAAAAATCAGGCATTTGACCTTTGGCCGCTCTGCCCCTTCGCAAAGCCAACAAATCACAAGAGACAATTTATATCGGCCGTGCTATTGAAGCGATCCATTGATTTTTCTGTGGATTCTATCCTATTCTCAACCATGGATTTATTATACTGTTGGTTTTGACAGTATTCAATGAGAGAGTGATGCCCCTGGGGGCACATTTAGTCGCCCGTATGTATACTGGGAATCCACCCAAAACGCTCCTAGTAATAAAAAAAACTGCTTCCAGTAGCTGTCTACCATTGCACAAAAGGCCTCTCATTGCGCAAGAGGTGAGTTTGAGGAAATTAGGCACGTAGACACTGATCGACAAGGCACTGAACTTCCTTACCATGGGACATGAAGCTATTGGCGACAGAAAGTTTGTTTAACAAAGGTTACGGCATACTAGAGAGAGAGGCATTTTGAAACGAAGACTAGAAGCAGTCGATATGGCACGAAGTACAGGAAAAGGGACATTGTTCCACATAATAGATGACATGGGTCTTCAACTCCCTTGGGAGACAACAGAAGTGAACATCACTCAACGAGGCCAAACGAGAAACACAGGACTGGACAATGACTATTCAAAGAACATGGCCAAGACCTTCTTCCTGATTCCTGATTGGCAACCTAACAGGGAATCATCAAAGTTTGATGGGAGGCATGATGTCCATAGCTCCATAGCCTGTGTAATCGCCCGAGACCTCAACATAACCCGAGTAGAACCCGACCGTGGAGTTCTCCATCACGAACTCCTGATTAGGCCGAGCACTCTTGACGCGAAGCTGAGTTCCATCCGCCAGCTTGATTTTGTACTCCAGTGAGTACTTGTTGCCGGTAACCGTGGAGTTCAAGACATGCTTGTCTGAGGCTTCAAAGCGGGTCAGGGAGAGAACAGTGTTCGTGCCGGCACGGCTCTGGAGGGTGGCAAAGGACTTGTTGCCGTTCACGCTGTCTTCCCAATTCCAGATCGAGAGGTAAGATTCCGTTTTGTTGGGCGCATTCAAGTATAGTCCGAGCCAAGTGAAGCGCTCCGGGGACGTGGGCCCCCACTGGCGGTCATACCAGGAGAAGGACTTTTTAGAGTCAATCGTGAGCTTGCGATTATCCACAACAAGGGAACCACGGGGGCGGGTGACTGGCAAGCTGATTTGGTTTTGAAGGCCACCAGCCCAGAGCCACGAGCCGAGGCCGGCATTCAACACCACGGGGCCTTTCATGTCCAGGTCAATATCGAATGTGACTTCCGGGAGGTGACTGTGAATCCTCATTGGCAAGAAAGTTTCCCGCGCGGCATTTTTGTGTGGAATGGCCTCCATTCCAAATTTTCCACCTGGCATAGTAATGTTGAACGGTTCGAGGGTACCATTGCTCTCTCTGACGGGCCCAATGTTCTGGTAGTTCTGCTTGTAGTATCCAAGGGGCTTGTCCAAGGACATAATCCCAGCGCGCTGCGTCGCGCTGCCGTTCCGGACCATAATGTGTGCACTGACGTAGAAGCTTTCGTTGCTGGTCGTCCGGATGTAGTTAGCTACCCAGTACGAGTCCGTGGCATGGTTGGCTTCCACTAGATCGATGTCGGATGCATCATAGAAAACAGGCAGCTGTATTTCTCAGTTGGTTAGTAGTCGGGTTCCAAGGTTGCTTGCCAGGGCATGATGAGCCTCATCAACGACTTACAGCGCTAGGGGTAGTTGTATTCAACAGTTCAGAGGCAGAGACTTCCGCTGAGCGTGCGGTGGCGTAAAAGCAGAAGAGAAGGCTCAGACATGAGGCTGAGAGATACATCGTGCTTTGCTTCGCAAGCTGGACTTGCAATGGAGAGATAGGAACTTTTTATGGTTTATCCCGGGGGTGGGAGCATGGACTTTAAATACAAGAGAGTTACTACACATACCCCCTAAATCCACTTTTTTTTTTCCCATCTTCCAAGGTGTGGATGGAGTACAACGTGGGTGGGATTCAACCACCCACTTTGAAAGCGGTCAGTAGATACAGTGACTCCGCAAAAGGTCTAACCCCTTCTGCTACCGTCTCTCTGGTTTATCATACCGCCTCTTTTAAATTAACAGACCGTCCTTTCTCCCTTAGCTTTTTATTGGTAGATATTCGGCCGGCAGAATTTGGAATATTGACCCTTTTGCGTAGTGACTGTATTCAAACACCCGTGCTCCGTATTGGATCCGGCATTTCACATGGGCGACGTCACATTTCCTTCGGGCAATCGTGCCAAGCCCACCACCAACTGGGTCCCAGGGGTCGGTGGGCCCCAGCGGATAGCACCGGATAATACACTGCAACATTAAATATCTTTAATATGGTGGTTCCATACACAAAGTACCCGCTCGCAGGGTAGTTGGAACTGTACGTCTCAGACGAGCTTGGCCAAATTAAATAGAGACTGATCTTAGATGGATCAGTTTTGATCGATCTACTCCGTACTACTGAAATTAGTTCGAAAAACATCTTCACGTGGAGGCGTGAAGAACATCTTAAAGAAGCACCATTATTCAAATGGTTCCAAACACACTTAGAAATTCTTACTCAGATCGATACAAAGTGATTTTAGGCTTCAATCTGTCTCTATACACCGTTCAATGTATTTCCTATCTAGTCCAAGGGTTCAGAGACTTGCAGTGACGAATTTATGGCACGTTAGTTTTGCACTCGTGTGATCCGATGAGAAATTGTTATCCCCTGGGCCCACTAACACCTGGTAGTTGAAGGTCTTGGCACGATGGTACTACTAACCACGGAGTACGGAAGTAAGTTTACCAAGTCCTCGGTTTTCTACCCCTGTAATTCAAGGGTAACGATACAAGAAGAAATCGGCGGAAATAACTAAATGCCGATGTATAAAAGTGGGTAGGTGTAGCCCACCAATACCCACCTTTGCAGGAGAGATTTTTACTTTGTCTCTAATTTGTGCTAAGTGTAAAACACACAGTGGGTCTCCATCTTCCTTGTGGTTCCGGCATTTCCTTTGGTACGGAAGCTGTAAACTCCGGTAAACCAGAGTGATGCTAGCGGAGCAGAGTTACCTAATTCCAAACAAGGGGATGTTATGTTGAAACCAAGGGTGCAAGACATGGTTGAAAGTAGAGCTTGAGCAGTCCTGCAGCGCCAGCCGGTTTTTGGTCCCGGCCCCGCAGCACTGAATAAATTCCGGTGCTGTGGTGCTGCAACCATACCTATGTAGGCTAGATTTTAACCTAGATAGGAAGTTTCTTCGCGTCGTTATGCCGAGGCAGCACTGAAATTGGCGGCTTGGCACTCACTTGGCGCCAAGACAGCACTTATCAAGGCCTAGTCAAAGTGAGGTGGAATACCTAGAAAAATCCACGAACCGCCATGATAGCGTAGCCTATTCAAATTCCATCTTGTGTTTAGTTAGCTTTAACCATTTAGATTAGAAAAGGAGCGGATTTAATCAGTTTAGTTAGTTAGAGGATTAAGAGGGTTTTATCTACTTATCTATCAGTTATAAGCCTAGAATTTTTCTATTAAAAACATCCATCTTTAATGATTAATTATACACGTGCTCTTAGTAAACCCAGGAGAATTGTCACGGATAACTATGTGCGCTACTATAATACCTTGCTATTTGTCCATTGAGGCTTAGAGCGGAGCGCATTTTAAATAATGTAAGACGCAGACCTATTAGAAGGGTTTGAGGCAGAATACGTGCAGGGCACTGAACGTGCTGAATAGGCATGGGGACATATGTAAGAGTATACAGGTTTCAGGAATAAAGCATTTCAACCGGGTAACGAGAGAGGAGAAGATGTATAGTCTTATGTGTGCCAAGACTATGCCGAAATTCTTGTCTGCATCAAGAGCTCTAGGGGGATCCTAAACTATAAGAAAAATGATCGGCACTCTCGGTTATCCGATCATGTGACGAGCCCCGCTCGGTTCGATCCCGTCGTCAATCTAATGCGTCATTGATCAGTCGATCCCTGTGTACATGTAAGGACTCTTTATCCGTTGCAACTACTAACTTTTACTTAGCTAGAATTTTAAGGCGCTTACGTTTTACAAAATATCTTTAATAGTTATTAGAAAGTTAATTGATATAGTAGAGTAAAAGATATCTTAAATTCTACTGAGTGTATATACCCTAGATTAAGGTAAGCCTTAGTTCTTCACTTTATAGAGTTAGAAATACCTCCTATTACTACAGACTAGTATCAACAAGAACTACAAAGACCTATACAAGACCTATGCCTAGAAGGATAGTAATTAGTTTTAGAAAAAACATGCAAGAGTGCTTTAATTACTTTACTTTAGCTAGTAAGTCTATCATTCTCCTTTGTCTTTTTACTTGTTCAAGTGTCGATAGTATAGATTTACTTTCAATATAACACATGTCCCTGTGTAACTCTATGTTCATGGGTCTCTCTCTAAGCGTGTATGAATATGATTGGTATCTAAACAAAGCAGCCAAATCCCTCAAATCCAGCCAATTTTGAAGGGGGCGGCAGCACACTCTTCCAGTTAGATATCGGCTTGGAACCCGAAACTGAGTCATCTTGTTGGGTTTTTTCCATGTGTAGCAAACAAAGAACTGCGGGAATGGAGAGAAATTTAAAGCTAAACCCTGAAAAGTGCCCCTGAGATTCTAGAATCCTTGATAGTCTTACTGGGCATTTCTCTCCCGTATGTTGTACAATGTTGTGGGTGAATTTTTCTTTCCCTTGGAATTTGGCGAAGCCGCATTTACGATCTATCATCTCAATGCCGAAGAACAGGACTCTGCGCAAGCTCCTGCCTACGGGCAGGGCATCCAATTTCCAACCTCCTGAGTCGGGCTTGTCAATCAAGCAGCGATACAACATTTCTCTTGCCTACACAGAATGCCAGAAAAAAGCGGACCAACGCCAGAAGTCTCATCACGAAACACAGCGGGGCTGCTAACACACCCAGTACCCTGCTACGACAGCCCGGCCGAGAAGGGACGCTAATGCATGCACGCCACATGTAATGTGTATGGTATAGTTTCAAAGTCATACAACTGATTTATTACAGAAGAAGCTCTGAGCTGCAAACTAGTGATTGGTGACTGGTAGCTTCTAGTACTGGTATTACTAGCAAGCAAAAGCAAGTGTGTGCATACACATTAGTGTCCCTTCTCGGCCGGGCTGTCGTGGCAGGGTATAGTGCTTCGGTACGATAGCCTACGCAAGATACATTTCCGATAAATGCGACTGCGTCTACAATCCGCGCAATGGTCGTGAATCCTAGGCTTATATTGCTGGGCCATTAAGTTTTTATGCCGCTCTCTACCGCATCATTACTACGCGTCGCTCAGGGAGCTCTGATGAGACATCTTGGTTAGCATGGGAGACTCGAAGTTAGGAAACAGGTCAAGAGGCAATTCATTACCTTGCTAGAAGATATTAGATCGATCACAACATATAAAATTCTGTTAGATGAACTATACAATCGCTCAAAAATGGTTCAGCAATCAAGCTGCCTCAACCGTTCCTTTAATTTAACTGACGGCATAACCCGATACCTCAAAACTAACTTCTTTGGAGCGTGCTTTTTTTTTCGTTATTAGTGGACCAAAAGGACCGATCGTAAGTTGCTCATATGTGCTTTCTGTGCGGAACATTACATTGGTACATACAAATTTAGATTGCGAATATTCACAACGAAATTGACATAATGTTCTGAATAGATTCCACTAGACATCTCCCCATAATTTCGATCTCGATTCACATCGTTCCCAGTCAAAAGCACGTAACCAGGTAGGAAGCCAAAAAACAGGCTAACAGCCTAGTCACTATAGTAGCTGTAACATATTATCACTTCCTATCCCAACAATGGTAGTCCGTGTAGATTCTTCCTTGAGCCTGAGTTCATCTAATTCCGGTATATTCACGTTAGGGAAATTTGGGAAATTGAATAATTTGGTGAGCCATGGTGATTAAAGAACGTGGTGGTTGAGGCATCAATGTATGTTGTAGGAAGCCATAATACATCCCGCACGATGACGGAGGAGACGTGCTCGATCGATCTTGAGAAGGCTTCCTACGCAGATCAACCAATTGGAACTGCACGGTCAATTTTCTTATTGCCTGGGTACATAACGCTTCTAGTTGTACTCCGTAGATGCGTGTAAATGCCAAGATGCCGAGCGTTTCAGGGGGAAACAGTACGATCCAATGGTATTCTGCTGTCGTTCAGCTAAGGAGTCAAGGAAGGGCCCGCACAACTTGGGTGAGAATCACCCTGATTTTGACCCTATCTACAACGCATTCACCCCCGTCACCCCCGGTCGCGCGACCGTGAAAGCGGCGCTCACCCATTTCTCACCTGGGCGACACCCACCCGACTAGCGGCTGCGTTTTAAGCCACACGCCGGTGACTTGGTAGTTGGATGGGTGACCAACAGTGAAGCCTCACTGTTGAATCTTTTTTGTCTTAATAGAACTAAACAATCTTAACGCAGAACCACAGGCAACTAAAGGTCGACCAGACCTAGTTTTGGTAAATCTGTAATTTATCATTTTGAAAATTACAAAACACAGCACTCTCCTCACTATTGCTTATCGGCCCTCGATAACAGCTTACACGGACTGTCTCCATGCAAGCTTCAACATCCTTCCAACTCTCCCCAGAACAAATTAGCTTGTTTCAGTAACCCCCGCTATGGCGAGGGAAACTAATACAAGGGCAACGCATCTCCAACCTGAGAAAAGTCAAGCCAGCTCAAATCATGGAGAGGATGACAACAATCATGCATCATTTCACCCGCACCACATCACACTCGAGACCTTCCACAAGCTGCTATCCCACTACCCTTCAACGGTAGAGCGAGTGCACCGGGACAAGCTGATACTGAAGCTGCAGTCGAAGGCAGGGAAGGGATCAAAGCGCAAGGCGGATACGAAGGCAGAGTTCGACCCGTCCGACGAGAAACAAATTCTCGAAGAGACGGATAAGTTTCTTCAGCTTGACCGGTGGCGGTACGAGGTTCTGCCGAAGATTATCGCGGAGCGGGCGAATGGGGTTGGTCAGAAAGCAGTTGCGCCGAAGGGAGTGCATTTGCTCAAGGAGGAGTTAGTGGACATCGTGGAATGGAAGACGTGAGTGTCGATTTGCTATATCAATGCTCACAGATTCAACTTCTGTCTAACTTGATTTCAGAAAACATGGAGTCTCCCGTCCCATGCTTATGGGAATGGTGAAGACTAACCAAGTCGCGACAATCACCAAGTCTACATCTACAGCTTTCGCCGCCCTCCCGGATGTGGACCCTGTAGTTGCACCAAATCATGCATTCCCCAGAGCTAGTCTGGACTCCCTTACAGCCCCTATCCGTGGCGTTGGCCCGGCTACTGCATCCTTGATTTTATCCATCGCCACGGTCTTCGGTGATGCCAAGAAACAAGTTCCTTTTTACAGCGACGATGTGTACCTTTGGCTATGTTTGACTGATTTTCCAGAAGGTCCGGATTACAAAAAGCAGAAGCCTTCTAAATACAAGAAGCCCAATGGGGAGTTGATTGCTAAGTACAATTTGAACGAGTATCGAGACCTCTGGAATGCCGCACAGGCGCTGCGGGCACGGCTGAACGATGGCGTTGGAGAGAGTTATAGGGATGGACCTGTGTCATTTATTGATATTGAGAGGGCTGCTTATGTGCTCCGCAATATCGCTGTCTCGGAATACTATGCCAGTCAAGAACCGGAGGCTCGTTTAAACACTGTGAAGGATGTGGTGGATAACCAGCTTCCAAAGGAATCAAAGAAAGCAGTTGATGAGCTTGGCACAAGGCGTAGTAAGAGGATAAAGCAAGAAGCTATGTGATGATAGCTTTTCATTGTTAAGAATTGTTCCCAAGTCCCCTCTTTTTCGAGTGCGCTTTAAACCAAATCTTCACCTTTTCTGGGCATATCACCTAGGGATGTTTCTGAAGGGAAGAGCAACTCGACAAGTGGACAGGAAGTTGAAACATGAAATAGGGAAATGCAGTTGCTTTGATATTCTCCACGGTGTCAGTTACTGTCCAGGCTACCTGCCCCACCGTGCTGCTTTTGCTTCTGATTATCTTTCCCATCTCAAAAGCTTTGCAAGTTTCCACAACATCGGATTCCCTAGTTCAGTCTTCTTTTCCAACAACCTCAACTCACATTGCACTAGACACAAATTAGCTTACTTGACGCTTGACCTCCCCTCGTGAGTTGCTCTAGTAGACTTCAAGCTTGTCATTTTATCCTTGACCAATTAGCTACGTATATCGGTGATAAGCCTATTCATTATGGCTACGGAGGTTTCTTGTTTTTCGACCTCGAACCCGCATACCAATAGTATAACCAGGAAAGTAAAGGCGATAGTAGACGTTGAGTGAGATACCCACTCCTATGGTAGATGAAAGGATCTGTTGTGATGGTCTGTGAGCATCGATGAGGGGATTGACATCGTTCATATTCAGTGGGGCGGAGAAATAGGTAGCAGGGAGAAGCAGTTGTTTCGTCAATTCGTGTTGGATGAGGAGAAGCAGAAGCCGAAGCAGGCAAGGCGAGAGCCACCACATGCAAATAATACACTGTAGATGCAATCCACAAGCATGACGACTTAGAGACGTACCTGTACTGAGTATCAAAGCTACACACCGTTGTAGATGACCTGAGATATGCCTCTTGCTATGCTCAATATGATGTTGACTACGAGGTACATTCAAGACTACGATTTTAGAACCACCTCTATGCCAAACCAGTCGCATTTTTCTTTCAAACTTGTCGCTATGTGCAATTCACGGCCATCAAGTCTTGATTAAAAGCAGATATCAGATACAAGAGAGACGCATGCATCACAGGAATAAAAATCGTCGGATCATGCAATCCATGCATCACTGGCCATCGTCAAGAGGGCCTGTTTTTGCAGTAGATTGGGTTTCGACATGACGGGGAGGGGTGTGGAGAAGTAGGAGTAATGACGAATGGTGGAGAGATAGGGAGGAGGCGGAAGAATACGCATTGTCTACCATTGAAGAACGGGAAGAGATGAGAAAGGTCTGAACGGAAATGGCACTGAGAAAACAATCGCAGTACAGATCGGATCAAGGCGCGTAAATTGATAGCCGGGTGTTGTACGCCGGGGGGTTTTTTTGGAAAAAAAGAGTTTTGTCATAAAATGGATAGTGCTTAGCGATTACCGCTTGGACGGATTGGGCTTGCGCTCGGCAGCACGCTTTGCCTTGGCGGTATTTTCTGCGGAAGCGGAATAGGAGTATCCCACGTGCTGGTCGTCGTTGTCACCGAATGGAACTATAGACGAAATTTTTTTAGAGCGACTACGCTTCATTGGCTGGGACAGAGGCGGCCCGGATTGCGGCGCAGGACTGGCGAGAGAAGGTCCCGGCTTAGCTTCGGCGCCAGCTGACGGGGCGGCAGCGCGCTCGTCGTCCTCAACATGGATGTGGCGGAACTCCTGCTCCTGCTCATCTGCTTCAGACGACGGAGGACTATCTGAGTCAGATGCTGCCTCGTAATCGTCTTCATCATCACTGACCAAGCTGGGGGCTTGGTTGGATTCGATGGCGTGAGGACTGAGTGTTTGGTGATCTAGGCTGTCTGGTTCTCGGGACTGCAGTGTTTGGGATTGACCGGCGAGTGAAAAGTCCAAAAAAGACTGTGGGCGCGATGGGGTGGCTTGCTCAGTGGGCGGAGTCTGTGCGCGGTCGGTAGCCTTCCGGTTCTCAGACTCCCCCGGAGTTTGACCGACAGGCATACGCATCGGTTGACGGCCCGGGCGAGCACCAATCGAGGTGTGGCTGGCTCCCGCAGACGGACCTCGAGACTCATCGGTTTCCGAGTCATCGCCGAAAAGACCACTGAGATCGACAGGCTTCCGGGATTCTTCCACCAACTTCTCCATGTCTAGACCGGCACCACGTGATTTCATGAGAGCGGACAAGTGAGGAGTTGCAGGAGAAGCCAAGAACTGTGGGTTTGGAGGCTGACGGACGGGCTCGGAGCATCGGCGGTAGGTAGGTTCGGCTGTCAAGGGAGGAGTGGCAACCGCCGGGGTGATACCCGCAGTCGGTTTACGAGGGGTGACAAAATCCTTAGCGGGGGGGTGAAGAGATTTCCAAGGGGTCGTGGCAACATGGGCAGAGCGGATCAGAGGATGCACATAACCTGGGGTTGTTGGGTTAGTAGTGGGCTCAGCAGAGCCACCGACCACAATCCCGGCGTCGTCCACCTGAACGGATTGACCGCACGCCATGGCAGCGGCATCATGGCTGGCAAAGTTGCGGTTGTGTGCGATGCGACAGTGGTTGATAAATCCCTGAGTGCTGGAGAAGTTATCGCGCCGGCAGTCCAGACAGACCAGCTTGACCAGGACACCATCCGACTTGCGCCGAATGAGCATCGGCCCGGGCTTCTCCTTGACCACAGGGTAGCCAGTCGACAGCGCGGTATGCTTAGTGGCAGTTGCACCTCGCTGGGGACGAGACTTGCCCGCCAGCATACCCATCTCACCGGGATTCCCACGCGTGGATCGACCCTCAACCAGGCAATGGGCCAGCATCCCAGACTCAACCTCCCCACCGTCAAAATGAGGGTCGGGCAGCAACCATCGGGCGTAGTGGCGGGCGTACGGGCCTTCTGTTACTCCCCATGGAGCAGGCGACATCGGCGCCGGACCATTTCCAGGTGCCCGCACTGACGCGCCCGTTCCCGAGCTCACATCCGGCGAGACACCCGCGACACGAGATCCGGGATAAGGAATTTCACCACAGCGTCGCAGTTGTTCCAGAGCTACTTGACACTTGGCGATCTCCTGGTCGATGAGACGAAGTTCATTATGCTTGAGTAACACCTCCAAGCTCAGCTGGGCGGTGATAGTTTCCCGAAGTCGGGTCACACCTGGCCTGGCGACGGCGTCCTGCGCCGGCGAGCGCGCGGACGCGACCGGGGATTTTGATGAAGTATTTGGAGTCGAAGGGGTGGGAGCGATCGAATCCGTGATCACGGTCGGAGTTGGGCGCTTAGAAATGGAATCCGCGCAGACTTTCGTCGGGGCGGGCGCATCGGTCGCGTCGGAGTCGGAGTCTGAACGTTTACGCTTGAGCTGGGGCAACGACAGAGTATTGATACCTGTGCAGTTTGGTGCCAGCATTTTGACATCCTCCATCACCTTATTCCCTCCTATAGTAGAGGGCCAGGGAAGCAGGCGAAACATGCCATGTGAGTGCATAGAGATGGTTTTGGATTAGGTGGCAGATGGTCCATGCGTTCCAAGTTTATTACGGAAAAGGAATGGACGTCGACTGCGCGACCGGAAGTTGATTACGGAAGGCAAAAAAAAAAAAATCTATTAATAAGAGGGAAGAGAGTACAAAAAAGAGAAAAGGGTGGAAACTGGGCGTAAATAATAACAGGGAGGGGGGGGGGGGGGGGGGAAGGGAGAAGAGAAGAAAAAAAAGAATTAGGAAAAAGAAAGGGAAAGGGGAAGAAAGGGGGATTGAGAAAGAACAGAATTAAGAGAGAATGAGTGGAGTTCTAAGATACTTGTTGTTGCCATACAAATGATATGGTCAGAGTAGGTACCATCTGATAATTGGATTATTTTGGATCCGTCACTGTCTACGACACGTCATACATTATTTACCTTTTTGATCAATTTGATTTTCGATCGATTTACGGAGTCCCTGGAGTAGATCTAGAATGAAGATTAATCTATTATACGAGGTATTGTATTTCCCTATCGATTCAAGTTCGATTTCCCTCTTCACGGACTCTTCAAGGGATATTCACTCATCCCCAGAGGTAGATGACTGAGACCCAAGATACCCAACTCTGACCGATTCTAGTGCCAAGCCTACAATAGTCTGGGCCTTACCCTGTTTCTGCCTAACGCCAGTTGTATCTACGATCTCCCCGATCCCCCAACAAATCAAGTTTCTCTCTCTATAAATTCTGCGGGGCAAACCGGGTATAATCAGGTTCCGACTGCGCCTCAATTGCATGTTGGACAACGCAAAAGTACAAGTTAACAAGTCCAAGAGACGTGGCTAAGAAAATTGGAAAGTTGTGGAACATGGTCGAACCGAGAGGAATTCTACCCCAGGTTCGTCGGGAACGGTAGCCACTCTGTAGAGTGCCCCTATTAATAGCCGTCCTCTATGTTGTAGCTCTTTACAGTATGCAATGGTCTTGTTTCTCATGGTCATACTTCCCACCAGGATAATGATGGGCCAACCCTTCTTTTTGGCAACGTCGAACCCGACTCACAGCAATCCTGAGTACTTTGTACCATCTCTGGATCTTTTCCATCTCGATTCACTCATAGGTCCTTTCGCTTCGGTTACCGCTGAACACTGACTCCCCTCATCCCTGACTATCATTGCTATCCTGACTACTGCGGGGATACTTTTACGCGTAATCCAAGGGACCGAGTAACAAAAGAAACGTCAACCGCGAAATTATAGAGAGTCTGCATAAGCGGATGACGTTGTAGTTTGATACCTAGATAGATGGCTCCGTAGATTGATCCGGATTCCTAATGCAGGCAACAGCGCGAACAACCACATCCCTCTCCCCACAGTGCCGAGAGAACCTCAGCAAAGAGTACAAAATATACCCACCTTGGATGCACTAGGAATACTTGGATCTCGTACGCTCACACCTGCACCCTGCATTACAGGAATGCAAATTCCAGCCTATGCATTGGATCGGAGCTGCCGCTTTGATGAGGGCGCTCCGAGTCACTCAGTACCTTTCAGTCTGCTCCGTTCAAATCACGTGGCATGTTAGTCAGCCTCGCAGATGAATCAGGCGTTTGATCACCTAATCGGAGGCGTTGAACCTTGCCTGAAGGAGTACGTGCCCACGGCACTTTGGACGGCCCCTTCTCACCTCCAATTTCGCAAGGTGCATCGATCTTCGAAGGTCGATTTGCGGCAAAGATAACCCTTGCGAAACTGTTCAGTTCAACAATTTTGAAGCTCGAATTCTATGTCAAACTCCGAATTGACCCATGACGGCTGCGGCGCTTGGGCGCGCATTCAAGCCCCAAATTCATGTCAGATGCCAAAGACAAAACACTCGCCAGCAAGTATAATAAGTCCCTGGACAGTGAACGTCCAGGTCCAACCAGAAGATGCTTGCCACGATGCAAGGAAGAACTATTTCCCAAGCAGAAGTCCGTTTAGCCACCCCTGAGGTAGATCCATTAATCGGGGAACATTCGGGATTGATGAAAGTGCTCAAGTTCAGAAACACGGCGTAGAATGTAATCACGCTGGTCATTTGCAGAGGATAGCAGTCAACGATGTAGCTGCTAGTTACCGTGTTGCCGATCTGAATGCGAGCTGCAAACCCATCTGGCGAACAAGCAGGTGGATATGGTACCTACTTGAATATAGCAATGGATTGTATGACCTGATTTTGAAATGCTGGCCGGTTCAATGGATCTAAAGAGTCTGTAGTTGGCTGTGGGTGGGTTCTGATCCCGTTTTTGTTGACTGCTGCACTGTACAGAACTTGGGTGCCTTGCTCATTTTTGGTGTCATGTTCCACCATCTCTCGTATTCGATCAAGCTTTTTTGATGAATTCCCCATTGTGTAGAATTTTCAGTTGTAACAGCGTGTTCAATCTAGACCGATGTTGGCGCTAGACTATCATCTTGATTGTAATAAACGCTCTGTTCAGTTCATCAACATGGGATTTAAAACTATGCTGGAATGTTGATCTGAAAAGGCAAGTAAACAGTAGCAGGTGGTGTAAGTGAGCAATTGTAGCCCATTGGCCATGCTGCCGTGTCCAAAGTCCCAGTTGAAGAGCATAGGTTTGTAGGGATTCTCAAGAGTGCATTCCACATCATCCCTTCAAGCTATCAACCATCAATGTACTCATTTAAGGTACCATTACATCCATCACATGACACGGATTTTGATAAATTAACAAGTCATGCTATCCTCAGATCGATGTATATAATTTACCAATGAAGTAGATTGTAGATGCTTTACTTTTAATCCATCTGCTACGAGAATGTACCATTGATAATGCCCATTTCATCGGCGCTGGGACCATCATTGCCGCAAAAGGCCTCCCGCCATTTGAGTGACAGGGGTATAAAAGAGACCGTCTGAATACATCAATCAACCGGTGAGAGGGCATGATAATGTTAAAGATAAAGGAGTCGATTTGACATTGGTCACGCTATAATAATTAGAAGCCTCTCTAGTCAATTTCCATAATGGGAGATGCGAGGACGCCAGGGCTGATCTCCCCGCTATCACGGATAAGATCCATGACATAGATATCCAGACATCAGTTGGGGATCAAGGCTAGATGGATCTATTTACAGTCACACTAGCCAAACCGAAGCCACCGCAACGTGGCTCCAGCATTCTCAGTTGATATCTGCCGTGCTAACCCGCCACTGTATCTGTGCGTCCGAGATCGGACTTGTGTTTGAAATACACGACTAATAGGCATAGCGGTGGACTTTTAAATTGAGGAATTTTAAGATTTGGAGGCTGCAATTACCTCAAATGAATTGAATATATGTTTGTTGTTGAGTGTGCAGTCAGAGGAATTACTGTCACCAAGTACCAAGGATTCAAGATAAGACCATATGACCTTGGAGACTCCAGGTCGGTCATAATACACTTCAATCATGATTTCCAAATTAAAGGCACGATTCGGGTGTGAAGCATTTTTTACTTTTTCTAACTTGCTCAAGTTGACACCGAATTGTGCCCCCGCTTCCGCAATCTGACCACATCACGTTGGGCAGTTCAGTTCCAAAACCGACACGTTGAAGCCGGAAATAGACTCGAAAAGAGATTGTTATATCTCGTCTCAGATAAATCGCTATGCATGAAGGCCCCAGCCATGGAAGTTCAACCCACCAACCAACCGAGCATACCTCCCTCCTCTCCAAACCCATCGACAATGAACCATGGAGCGACCCCGAAAGCAAAGGGGAATGCCTATTCTCACGGAGTCTCATTTGTGCCGAATTCTGGCTCTTGCTGAAACACTCGGTCCCCGTAATTCTTGCCTACATCCTGCAAAATAGCCTGCAGACCGTATCTGTGATCATAGTCGGTCGGTCGTCACCAGAGAACCTTGCAGCGAGTGCATTCTCGCAGATGTTCGCAATGGTTACTGCGTGGATGATTGCACTGGGAGGTACAACGGCGATGGATACGCTCGCCTCCTCCTCGTTCACAGGCAGCTCCAACAAACAGAATCTGGGGATTCTGCTACAGCGAGGCTTCCTTATTCTGGGTGGGTTTTATATACCCGTCGCTATTTTATGGGCATGTTCAGAGCCGGTTTTCTTGTTCCTTGGCCAGGATCAGCAACTTTCAAAAGATAGTGCGAGATTCTTGACTTGTTTGATTCCGGGGGGCTTGGGATATATTTATTTTGAGGTTATGAAGAAGTACTTACAGGCTCAAGGTAAGTTTCTGTGGGAGGTCTTTCCAGATCTATGGAGACTTACCGAGATAAAGGCATTATGCGGGCCGGAACATACGTGCTGTTGATTACATCGCCCTTGAACGCCGCTCTTAACTATGTATTCTGCTACACATTCGAAATCGGTCTCCTAGGTGCCCCTCTAGCAACAGGTCTCTGTTACTGGCTCTCCTTTGCCCTGCTTGTTCTCTACGCGCGCTTCATCCGCGGCTCAGAGTGCTGGGGCGGATGGTCCCGCGAGGCGTTTCAAAACCTACGCACATTCGCCCGTCTCGCTCTTATGGGGGTTGTTCACGTTGGAACGGAATGGTGGGCTTTTGAGATTGTCGCTTTAGCCGCTGGACGCCTAGGCACTGTTCCGTTGGCTGCTCAGAGTGTTGTAATGACTGCCGACCAAGTTCTCAACACGATTCCTTTCGGAATTGGGGTCGCGACATGCGGCCGTGTCGGCAATCGTCTCGGGAAGAGGGATAAAACTGGCGCTGCACGGGCGGCACACACCTCTGCCCTGCTCAGCGTGGTTTTCGGTGGAGTTGTGCTGGCGGTTCTCATGGGGACGCGAGAACAATTTGCGAAGATCTTTAATGACGATGCTAGTGTTGTGAATCTTACGGCTGAGGTGTTGCCCTATGTGGCACTTTTTCAGATTGCCGATGGGCTTAATGGGAGTTGTGGAGGGAGTCTACGAGGAATGGGACGGCAGCATGTGGGTGCTTTTGTTAATTTGGTGAGTTACTATTGTGGTGCGTTGCCGTTGGGTATCTGGCTTGCATTCCATGGCAGGGGGCTTAAGGGATTGTGGGTTGGCCAGTGCACTGCGTTATATTTAGTCGGAGCGCTTGAGTGGATCATCGTTGCGCGCAGTCAATGGGATACTGAGGTGCGCAAGGCCTTTCAACGTATGGATGTACATGAGGATTTGGAGGACGGGGCGGAAGAAGAGTAGATTATCATCTCTCTAGATTTTTGATGCAAATACAATGATAGTATGTATGCAGGTAAAACAGTTTTCAATTGGATGGACGGGGAGAGAGAGAAGGTGAGAGTGGAAGGAAGACTATCTAGTTGGTCTATCCTACATGTGATGCCTGAGGCATCCAACAATTTTCTATTCTAATGACATGATAAAACTTCTACCGATTCCTGAGGGTTACCACTTATTTATTCTGTTAAGAGTAGAGCATCATAGTTCATCGAGATGTGGAGTTGACGTGAATATGAATCTCCTTTGAGCAAGGGCCTACTCTAGCTAGGATATGTACATAGTTTGTGCTGTGTATGCAAATAGTTAGCAAGGCGCTCTTTAAAGATTGAACAAGGATTTCATAGTCGTAAGTTATGATTTTCTAGCCCTGTTCTACACACTCTCCCTCGTTACAATTCAAGTAGACCTACCCACCTGGCCAACAATTCTCGGACACGTTCTCCAGTAGGTCCATCATTATCAAAACGGTTCAATACATCAGGACAAAATAACAGGAAGAGAGAACTATACCGAAATTCCTATATTTCTCCGTTGTCGGAAAGGAAACCACTCAACACAAATTTTGTAGATCGACAAAACCCAATGGCGAGCGACCGATAAGGAGCGACATACATAAATTAGCCCTAAATTGATATCCTACATGTGTACCTTCTCCAACTTTAACATTTGTCTCACATCCCCCTCCCCCGGCCTTCCTTTTTGAGACCCTGGCAATGATTCTGACTTGCATAATGTGTGTGTGCCGTGGTCAAGCCTCGACATCACGTTCCTCACTCGAAGTATCCTGCCATCGGTTCCTTAAAGGGAAGTTACTGGGAGAGAGAGGGGAAAACGCCGCTAAGTGTTACAAGTTTCTTGTCCTTTTTTCCCCCTCAAGATTGACTCGGCTGTTTAAATGGTGGGCGCAGATAGAAGCGATTGCCAAATTATCCTTTGTTTCTATTTCTGGGCAATTCAGGGAACAGACGCTATCGCATGGGAAGCTGACTGGTTATGCCAAATGACATTAAAATGTTGAGAGTATACTGGAATGAATGACACACTTAGATCTTGGAACATATCCCCTAGAATTGCTCTAATCCAACAAATAACATTCACTCCAAAGCTTTTCAACTTTCTGCCTAGTATCACAATAATCCCCTCCGTTGCGGGCTTGCTAGTCCTTTCTGGGTTGGTTAGAGACCATGGAAATCATGGCCAGTCTCAACTCGCTGGCCCGCACCAAATTGAACAAATCGAAGAAGGACACAGTAGTGTCCCGATGCGTAGGCCATACACTGACGCTGATAAATTGGGTCTTTCGCGCGCTGGAAAGACCCTTCCTCGTGTCACTACCCTAGGTGGTGACCATACTATCCCACTGCCCCTACTGCGGAGTGTAATTGAGGCTTGTGGGCCTGTGACAGTTATTCATTTCGAGGGTCATTTGTGAGGAAATTCATTTACTTCAGCGCTCATTTGACAGGACTGATTTGATAGGGACACGTGGAAGCCGAAGGTCTTTTGGTGGTTCACCTAGTCAGGTTCCTGCTAACAACCACGGCACACACTGTTACCATGCGGCTATGGAGGGCTTGTTGAAGAATGATGCAAATATCCATGCTGGTATTCGGACAAAGTTGTCCGGTTCTTCCGATTATGACAACGATGGGTATTGCGGGCTTGAGACGCCGGCTACGGGCACACCAGAGACTGGTGGCTGGTCCACGCGCGAGTTGCGGGCGATCATCCATGGCCTTGATGGGCTGAACTTCATGGATGCGGATATCGTTGAGGTTGCACCTGCTAATGATCCCCATGTGGAGTTGTCGACGATGTAAGATTCTTTAAAAGTGGATGAGATACAAGACAAATACTGACGATTCGACAGGGCTGCTGCTGCTATATTACATGAAGTTCTCACACTATCATGATCAAGAAAGGCTCGCTGACTGTTGGTGAGTCGTCTCATGAGCTGTAAGGCTCAGTGGAGTTGGTGGAGATCATTTGGGAATACAAAATCCAAGCTTTAAACTTGATGAGAAACTGGATTGGTGTACCGAAAAACATAGGAGCATCCTCTGCATCTGCTGACCCCGCAACAAATCGCTTGTCATTAAGTATCTCTCCTCTCAAAGACTGAAAAGTGCTCAATGCGCACTATCTTCCTAGAGGTCACTACCACGCCAACTCCTTAGCGCCTTACGCACCACCAGATAAAAGATACTGTTGAACGAAATACAGCGTACTTTTCCACTGGACCATAACAAAAACCAAGGTTCCTGTTTATGGCCTAGGGAGGCCGTATTTGAGGTTTGACAGATACCATCAGCCTTGTAAATTCCTAATCAACCAACCTAGAAATAATATGTTTACTAACGCACTTATAAAGCCATGATATACTAGCCAAAACTTTCTAAATAAAAAACCAACTTCGACTCGGCCAGGTAATTGGGGGTTTGAGCCCGGGAGTTCAGAGTACGAATGCCCGATTATTTGTGCCGATGCGAGGGGGGCCGAGGGGGGATGCATAGGAGGGCTCCGATTTTTCGAGCTATTGACCCTAGGAGATTAGTAATAATATCGAATGAGCTTGCGCCCCAAGAGGATTCGGTAGCAAGTCGCTCAAGAGATCCTGTTCCGGACAGCACATCTCTCTAGCGATGCCGCCCTTGCTGGTAAACTGTTTAGCGGGAGTTTTGAAACTTTGTTGAGTTCATCCAGGGAGATGTTGACGGGAAGCTTGTTAAGGATCATTGCCCATGAGATCAAAGGAGTGTGTATAGACAGATGACGCGATTCAATTCAACTCGTGTTCAATCGTTCAATCTTTTTTTTTTGCTTCGATAAGCACAATCCACAAAAACGCCGGTTGCAATATTAAAAGACAAGACAGACGCTCGACTCGAGCATGTGAACGTGAAAGGCAGGCCTCGTAAGCATAAAGCAGACCAACATACGCCAAGTAAATACACAAAAACAGACACAGCTGTAGATATCAACAAAGAACGAACGAGAACAGGCCCACGTAATCAATGGTATAGCATCAGGTGACCCAACGGGCCCAACGGGAGAAATCGAATCTCCAATCCGAAATCGCCATTTAAAAAAAATAAAATCAATCGTATCCACTATCCAGGCTCATCCTAGTTCATCTGGCCATCCCGGATCCGCAAGATAAAGTTAACAACGACGGCGGCGAGCAGGGCAATGGCGAGGATGGTAGGACCGAATCGATCATCGATGCCGCTCTGCCCGCGCCGGCGGATACTCTGCGCTCGCCAGTGGAATGTCACTAGAGCGTAGATCATTGCGCCCATGGCGATGACGGTGAAGAGGGCTGCGGAGATGCGACCGATGCGATCGCCGAAATTCAGGAGCCCGACGGCTAAGCCGCCGAGGATGACGGTGAAATTCAGCCATGAGAGGAAGGTGCGCTCGTTTGCGAAGAAGACTTTGGGCTCGACTCGGGTTGGGAGGGCGATTCGCTTGCCTGATGGATGTTAGCTGAATTCGGGGTGGAAAGACTGGAGGATTGGAGGATTGGTGCGATGGGCGTAGGTTGGGAGAAGGAGCGCGATCGATCTGCTTCTCTTGGGTTGTGGAGGTGATCGCGATGCTAGTCGGTGTCCACAGCCCAAGGGAAGCTAGCATCATCGCGCACCAATCAACGCCACGGTGATGGGAAGATGTCTAGGTAGAATTGCCTCGCGTGCTGAGCTATTGAGCTGCTGAGAGTGGTGTCACTTACCAGGAGCGGTTTGGAGAAGAGGTTGGCTAGACATTGTTGAATGTGAAGAGGTAAGGTTGTTGGAAGAGATCGCAATAGACAAGGACCCGAAGAAAAATCCGAACTCAATTTACGGAGACTGGCGAAGAGAAAAGCAACTGAAAGAAGCGAAAGGCTTCAAGAGTCAAGATCTCCCCCCCCCCAATGTCTTCCGTCCTGGGACTAGCGGGAAACAGCTCTGTTGCACGTGCTCCCACGATTTGATGAGAGGATCAGGTGACTAAGTACCTGGTCCACGGGTCCTAGGAGATTTTGATCGGAAGTGTTCGCCTTGGAGCCTACGGAGTACTTTCATCTGAAATGATCCAAAATGAAAGAATGACGGATCATCCTCTTCATTGATACGTGCATACAACGTCGGACTCCGAAAAAAAGCCCGAGGACCCTGAACAAAAAAAAAAAATTTTTCCTAAAGAAACCCTCGAGATGAACTTTTATTATTTCGCCTCTCGTATGTCTCACTTCTGTACGGCAAAGGTCAATGCGCCGGAAAATGGGGCACAGCTTTTCAAGCTTTCGACCTATCACTATTAACAGACCAAGTGTTGTCAGTTCATCTGAATATCATCCGACGATCCTCCGATTGAAATAAACTTGACATAGAAAATACACAGCATCTAAATCAACATAACATCGCTCCCCAGAAGCTTCTGTCTTATATCTTTCCCGGGGCGACGGAAAAACGGATCGGAAAGGTTAAACTCGAAGAATTCCCGTCCGATTTCCACTAGACCCCCGCGGTTTCAAGGTCTAGAAAACTCCGTACTAGGCCCACTTTTAGTTTGAACGCGCATCGAAGCTGTCACGGCCTCTGAGAAACGGATTGGTGGATTTACGCTGCTCATATGTAATATACAAATTCGGAGCAGTTGTGTGAATCTGCATGGTGGGTTTTTTACAAGACCAATGGACCTTATAACCGTACAAAACCTCTAGAGGTCTTCATGATCCGGGGGTTATTCCTTGGTACTGAAACCTCACAGAGTACCGCAGACAGTAAGTTGCGAGGTGGAATTCGGAGATATAAAGTGGTAAATAGACTATCCGACTACATCGCAGTTACAATATCTGTGAGACAAGAAGCAATAAGCATTATCCGAAATGAGCAACCGGACGAAATTTCCGAGGAGAGTCCCTTAAAAGATGAAAGATCTACATTAATCTTCACAGTGCTTTGTACTCCGTAGTCAAATTGTAGTCCTAGGATACAACATAGGGTAAATAATTGAGAGTGATCAGTTCCAACTCACGACTGATATTGGCTCCTTCCAACCCGTTCTACAAGATCTCTCAAATGGTTCCACCCCAGATGTCTCAAATACACCAAATCTCCAAACTCCATTGCATGATCAACCACACCTAAGCCACTAGCTCCAACAGCGCTCAGCCCGAAGGGCATCAACCGTCAATCTCCCATTAAAAAAACTTGGACACAGGTGCAACATGTCCCAATCAAGCGCAGTACAAATCTAACTTCTCCTCTCAATCATCGGATCACTCTTAAACCAAAAAAACAACAAAACAAAACAAGGATCCAAGGCTTTCTCGAAACCATAAAAAGAACGTGCACAGTTCTTCGACCCTACTTAGACAAAACCCACCTATAGCGATAGCGCCCGTCTCTGGGTGCCACCTAGTCCTAACCTAAAACATGCACGACACAGGCGCTAGAATCAGCATCCCCCAAGCCCCCATGCCACGACTCCAATGAACTGGTAGCAATGCCATCGTCCTCGCAGCCAGCGACCCACACATAGGAACCCTCACCTATCTACTATTCTGACAAGTCTGGGCCAAGCATGCGATTGCGACCCAGCTTTCTAGAGTGCGCGATTTAGATAGACCAGACGGATATTATAGAGATGTTGCTTAGGGCTGAATTGATAGAGAAAGGGGTAAATCTGAATTTAACGTATGACGTTGTTCTGGTGAGTTGTGATTGTCCACAGTACAAGGGACATAGGGATTGGGGTGAAGGCTGGACATTTTTGAGGATTTGAAGCTGTTGCTTGAGAACGGGGTTGGCGTTGAACGAAGGGATCTTGCTTTGGCGCGGGAGGAGAGCTTCGAGGAGGCGGTAACTCTGTTCGAGGGGTGTGCGCTTGCGGATTTGCCGACGAAGGGGAACATTGAAGGATCTGAAAGTGCAGGGTTCACTTGGTCCTCACATGGAGCTGTGGCTATGGATGGAGCAAAATGTGTGGCATACCGGTAGTAGTGCTTCAAATTGGGTCACTCTGCTTGTGGTCGAGGATCGACAAAACCAATCTCATTCAAGTATTACATATTAAAAGTGCATTCAATGAACCCCCAAAAGCTTACATCATAGTCTGCGGAGCCCTAAGATCCCAATCCTCACGAATCATATCCGCGGCCTTCTCCGCAACAGCGTAAACACTACTGACAATATTGCCCGAAACATTATTCGGGAAAATTGATGCATCCACAACACGCAGTGCCTCAACACCCTTCACCCTTAATCTGCTGTCCAACGCATCGCCCATAGCAACGGACCCGCTGATATGGTACTCACCCGCAACGAGGTCGTGCACTGCTTCTCGGGCTTCATCCATGTTCTGCAAGTTGATCTTGGGCTCCGGGTATGCGCGCCGCAGGAACGAAGACTTCACGTGCTTTGATTTCGTGACTTTATCTGTCCAGCGGAGGAACGCTGCCAAAAGGGAGATGTCTGCTGAGTGGCCGCCGTAGTTGGGGCTGATGATAGGGGGTTTGGTTGGATCTGGACACATTAGCATTTGGATGTAGATTGGAAATAGAAGGGATTGATGTTTGGTTCTAAGCTTACCCGCACTCTCAATATGGATGGTCCCTCTAGACACGGGATACTGAATACAAGCCGCCAAGGTCAACCCAGCCGGCTCACCACGCTTGCGCGGTTGAATGATTCTACGCTGATGATAGATGCCATGGGGGTTCATTGAGCCTGGTACGGTAACAAGCTGCATATTTGCAGAGTGGTCACTCTCGAGGTTTGCGATCGTCTGTGCGAGCTGCTTCGCGTGGAACGTGCTGTTTGGTTTGACATCGCGAATGCTCTGGATAATTTCCGCCAGCTCTGGTTCAGAGAGAATTTTCCTTGCCGGGAAGAACCCCTGCAGGCTACTGATGGAGCTGAGTGGCCCGCCGCTGTCTTCGGCATATTGCTTGGTGGCAGCTTGCATTGCCTCGGGTACTTGGTTCAGGGTGTCTTGTGTGATGACACCTGGCTGGACCTCCATTACGGTCAAGGTGAGGGTATGGTCTTGGACGTTTGCACCGACGCCTCTATTGGCGACCTTGCATTCGACTCCGGCGGCTTGAAGGACCTCCGGGTCGCCGATTCCAGATAGCTCGAGAATCTGGGGGCTTTGGATTGTCCCGCCGCTGACAATTACTTCACGCTGTGCGGAGACTTGGTACTCGACTCCAGCATGCGTGAAACTGACGCCAGTGGCTTTGTTGCAGTCCAACACGACGCGGTTAACGAGGGCTTCACAGATGACTTTGAGGTTTGGGCGATTAGCACGGATCGTTTCATAATATCCTCGTGCGGCGTAGCTACGCTTGCCCTTATCTGGGCCGGTTCGATGAACTGCGCCGAGGGTGTGGTAGAAGCCGATGTGGTCGCCGCTCCATGGGTCTTTGGGTTTGTTTGTAATGCCGGTCACCTCCTCGCAGGCTTTGATGATATCGTTCTCCACTTGTACGATTGAATCATTGAACCCGGTGTGGATGGGTCCATTTACGCCATGAAACTCGCCTACCAATGGCATTGTAGAGAGGTCGGTGATGGCTGGATCAATGGGCTCAAGGGTCTGTTCATTTTGTCAGTTGTCGACCGGGAGCAACCGGATTGGGGATTTTTTGATCGTGAGATCGTACTTGATGCTTTCGCATATACTGCTGCATACTCTCCCCAGACCATCCATCGTCCTCTACCAATTCTGCCCAGTCATCGTAATCCAGCGTCGATCCTCGCACATAAATCATATAATTGATGCCGCTGGATCCTCCGAGGAGCTTTCCCCGCGGGATGTGCTGACGCAAGCCACGATTGCCTTCCTGTAACCCCGGGAGATAAAGTTAGTGAATCGGAAGCAGATGGATGCCATGCAGAATAAACCTACCTGAGGCACCGTATACAAACACCAATCATACTCGGGATTCTCGAACATCTGTGGAAACGCCGCAGGGGTATCAACCAGAGGATCTCCAATGCGATACTTACCGGCTTCAATGACGCCAACGGTTACAGCGGGATTTTCGGAGAGGCGTGCTGCGAGCGCGAGTCCTGCAGTTCCGCCGCCGCAAATAACATAGTCGAATGTGATGCGGATGAACTCCTCGATTTCGCAGGTTGGATTTTCAGCCATTATATGGTTTCTTCTATTGTCTAAATTGGAAGTTATGGACTGAAGGGATGGGATGGAAGAGTTGAATAACATGAGAGGGGTAATGTTTACATACATACGTATGTCCCTATCAACCGCGGAAACTCCAGCTGCGGGGGTTGGCTTTTATAGCAACGGAGTCTAAACATACTGATAAACACCAAGATGAACTCGAATACGCTAGAATAGACAAAAAGAGAATACAAGGCGTCTATCTAGTGAAACCTAGTGAGGCTCAGATGCAGAAGTTGGAGAGATAATTGCGGAGAAGAGCCGTAAATTGTCTTAATATTCGATAGCTACTTAAACAAGAGAAGAATCTTCGCTGCAGAATACATGGCAGCTGAGGGAATACATGTTGGTTAAACTTGAGAGGTCCTTTTAGCCGCATGCCATTACCCGTAAGAGACTTTTTCGGTTCATCCTGCATGTCGTGTTGGATTAGCAGCCGCCGCGTGGCCGGCGGCCCTGCAGATCGTCCTGCCAGGTAGATCCTTCGGCTCCTCAGAAATACGCTGTTGGTTGTGTCAAAGTAGAACGCACCGTCAGTAAATGCCATCCATCAAGTAACATTCCAGCTAAGAAGGTTGTGGAATCTTCGATGGTGCCGTGTCATCTGTTGTCTAACTGGTTGAGCGGGATCATCTGCAGTCTGGACCCGTCTGCTTGCAGTGCATCAACCGTGCGGTCTAGTCGTCAATCAATCAATCAATCAA